TACCACCCTGCTGGGGCCGCCATCCGCTTCACATCTGGCTCTCCCGGTACCTGCATACGTCCCCGGAGGCCTCCTCAGCCACTGGTGGGCCTGCTCAGAGGTCGTGACCTGGCCCGGGACTGTTTCAAGTCCATCCCCACCATCAGGGGCCCTGGTGAAAGCACAGCCCGGTGGTCTCTGGTAGGTCTGTCAGTTGGCAGCCTGAGGCACCACCTGGCGGATCATAACAGTGACTCTATAGTTACATGGGCTGCTCAGATGTGACCTGGAGAAAATGGTCAGGAGAGGAATACACTGAAAACTGAGCCTGTGCAGTAGCTAACAATACTGCTCCGCAAAATCCCTAATTGCATTGGGGACATGGACAGAAGGGGGAGAGAGAGAACAGCAGGATTAGCAAGGTTTTTTGCCAAATACAGAAAAAAAATCCCATAGTGACTGAGTGAGTATGAATAGCATGTAATACAGCATTTACTAATGGTTTTTAATGATGTGGGTTTAATGACACTTTAAGGAATTAATGGCACCACCGCCCATTTGATTGGTTTGTAGGAACACATTAGGTTGGGTGGCAGCGCGTGAGGACGCATTTCCCTTAGTTCTACTAAAGGGTTGCACTTTTTGTGTGTTGCAGGAAAGCACATGATTTTGCACATGTTCCTGCAACACAAAGGTGTAAATATAGACTAAACCAAGAATTTAATATCATGACAAAATGATGCATGCAAGAAGTAAATATAAGCACCAGATGGCAATGAAGCCATACCTGTATGGAATGTATTTCCCTACCATAGTGCACCATTATAGATCAATAACATTAGATTTGCTGATACAGGTTAATTGTGATGACTATTTGTAAGGAGACTACCTTTGGCAGAAAATAGAAAAATGACTAGTAAATGAGAACACTAAATTCCCCCCAAAAAATTTAAATTAAAGACTTGTTTATTTCTGTTGTCTTAGTAGTTGTGATACAAAATGGCAACAGGTTAGTAAAAGTCTAACTGCTAGTGTGTCAGGTATGCATACCTCCTACCTTTCTGAGATGACAGAGGGACACTCTTCAGCACCAAGTTTTTTTGGCAAAGGACACACCTTCTGCCATGAGGCCCATGAAGAATTAATCAGCAAAAAACAACTGGATAAACCCCAAAGCAATTTTTCATTACTGTTTCCTTTATACTGATTTTTTAACAACAATGTGATAATAAAAAGGTTTGTATGAGAAGTTTAGTGTAGTGTAACCAGAGCTTTTTTCTGTCGGAACCTTCTGAAACTCTGTTCCGACACCTGCAGTAGCCCTCTCCTATCAAGTACCCCAGTCAGTTTGCACAGAGAGGGGTAAAGGAAGTTTTCTGTACAGATCACTTCCTCTGTACTAGCACTGGGCACCCTGGGGCTCCTGCCCTCAAGCCCTGGTGAGTGCCTTGGGTTCAGCCCTGCAACTGCCTGTGTGGAGGCAGCTTCTGTCCCTGCCTGCCTCCGCTTCTCAAACACTGTAGCACAGAGCCGAAACAGCTCTGAAACTTCTCCTCAGCTCTGTTCTACAGTTCCCCGATCACCAGACAGTACTGCACTGAGATTAAACAACACAAAAGCCTGCACAAACCATATTGAGTGGTGTCGGTGAGCTGAGGGAGCTGTGAATAAAAAGGGGGAGGGGAGAGAGCTTTGGGGAGATTTTAGCAATGAGGAGACCTGGGAAAGTAAGAGGAGGACATTTGTACAGAGAGGAGAGTTGGGGAGGGGGGTACATTTAAGCAGAGAGGGGAATTGGGAAGGAGGGGATTTGTGCAGAAATGAGAACTGGCAAGGGGGGATTTGTGCAGAGAAGAGAACTAGAAAGAATGGGAAATTTGTGCAGAGAAAACTGGGAAGGGGGGGGGGATTTGTGCGTAGAGGAGAACTTGAAAGGGGGATTTGTGCAGAGAGAATTGGGAAGAAGGGGGGATTTGTGCAAAGAGAACTGGGAAGGGGGGGGGATTTGTGAAGAGAGAACTTGGAAGAGGGGGGGGATTTTGTGCGAAGAGAAGAATTGCAAAGGGGGGGGGATTTGTGTAGAGAGAACTGGGAAGGGGGATTTGTGCAGAAAGGAGAACTGGAAAGGGGGGGATTTGTGCAGAAAGGAGAACTGGGAAGAGGGTGATTTGTGGAGAACTAGGAAGGAGGGTGTGTGCAGAAAGGAGAACTGGGAAGGGAGTGATTTGTGGAGAACTGGGAATAGGGGGGATTTGCGTAGATAGGAGAACTGGGAAAGTGTGTGGGGGGGGGTAATGTGTAGAGAGGAGAACTGGGAAGGGGGGGGATTTGTGCAGAGAGAACTGAGAAGGGGGGATTTGTGGAGAACTGGGAAGGGGTGTGTGTGTGCAGAAAGGAGAACTGGGAAGGGGGGTTTGTGGAGAACTGGGAAGGGGTGTGTGTGCAGAAAGGAGAACTGGGAATGAGGTGATTTGTGGAGAAATGGGAAGAGGGGGATTTGTGCACAGAGGAGAACTAAAAAGAATGGGAAATTTGTGTAGAAAAAACTGGGAAGGGGGGATTTGTGCGGAGAGGAGAACTTGAAAGGGGGATTTGTGTAAATAGAACTGGGAGGAAGGGGGGATTTGTGCAAAGAGAACTGGGAAGGGGGGGGGGGGATTTGTGCAGAGAGGAGGACTGGGAAGGGGGGGATTTTTGCAGAGAGAACTGGGAAGGGGGGATTTGTGCAGAGAGGAGAACTAGAAAGAATGGGAAATTTGTGCAGAGAAAACTGGGAAGGGGGGATTTGTGCGGAGAGGAGAACTTAAAAGGGGTATTTGTGCAGAGAGAACTGGGAAGAAGGAGGGATTTGTGCAAACAGAACTGGGAAGGGGGGGCAGATTTGTGTAGAGAGAACTGGGAAGGGGGGATTTGTGCAGAAAGGAGAACTAGAAAGGGGGGGATTTATGCAGAAAGGAGAACTGGAAAGAGGGTGATTTGTGGAGAACTAGGAAGGAGGGTGTGTGCAGAAAGGAGAACTGGGAAGGGAGTGATTTGAGGAGAACTGGGAATATGGGGGATTTGCATAGATAGGGGAACTGGGAAGGGGGGGATTTGTGCAGAGAGGAGAACTGAAAAGAGGAGGATTTGTGCAAAGAGAACTGGGAAGGGGGGGATTTGTGCAGAGAGGAGAACTGGGAAGGGGGGATTTGTGCAGAGAGCAGAGCTGATTAGGGGAGGGGGGATTTGTGCAGAGAGAACTGGGAAGGGGGATTTGTGCAGAGAGGAGAGCTGAAAAGGGGGGGGATTTGTGCAGAGAGAACTGGGAAGGGGGATTTGTGCAGAGAGGAGAAACTGGGAAGGGGGGAGATTTGTGCAGAAAGAAGAACTGAGAGGGGGGAATTTTTGCAGAGCGGAGAACTGGGAGGGGGGGGGATTTGTGTAGAGAGGAGAACTGGGACGGGGAAAGGGGTTTGTGGAGAACTGGGAAGAGAGGGAGGGATTGTGCAGAAAGGAGAACTTGTAAGGGGGTGATTTGTGGAGAACTGGAAAAAGGAGGGATTTGTGCAGATAGAAGGACTGGGAAAGTGGGAGGGGGATTTGTGCAGAGGAAAACTGTGAAGGGAGGGGGATTTGTGGAGAACTGGGAAGGAGTGTGTGTGCAGAAAGAACTGGGAACGGGGTGATTTGTGGAGAACTGGGAAGAGGGGGATTTGTGTAGAGAGGAGAACTGGGATGGGGAAGGGATTTTTGGAGAACTGGGAAGAGAGGGAGGGGTTGTGCAGAAAGGAGAACTTGTAAGGGGGGGATTTGTGAAGAACTGGCAAGGGGGGTGAATTTATAGAGATAGGAATACTGGGATGGGGGATTTGTGGAGAACTTGGAAGAGGGGGGGATTTTTGCAGATAGGAGAACTGGGAAAGTGGGGGGGGGGTGTGCTGAAAGTAGACCTGGGGGGGATTTGTGCAGAGAGGGGAACTGGGAAAGGGGAGCGATTTATTCAGAGGTGAGAACTGCAGAGGGCAGGTTGTGCAAGTAAGAGTTGTGTAGGGGGAGGGGCTGGCAGGTTGTGCAAAATGAGTTGAGAGCTGTGGCTTGGGGTGAGCTTTAGATGGAGGTGCGGAAGTGAAATGTGGATGGGGGTGCAGAGGTGAGTTGACAGGAAGGGCAAAGGTGAACTTCCTTTCACTATTCAAGGATGATGATCATATGAAGCCATTTATTATCACATAGTTGTTTGGCTCCTTTTTAAATCATAATGATAAACAGAAATCACCCAAATGGTCATGATCAGAAGTTTACATACCCTGGAATGTTTGGCCTTGGTACAGACACACAAGGTGACACACTCAGGTTAAAATGACAATTAAAGGTTAATTTTCCACATCTGTGGCTTTTTAAATTGCAATTAGTGTCAGCATATAAATAGTCAATGAGTTTGTTAGATCTCACATGGATGCACTGAGAAGGCTAGATACTGAGCCATGGGGAGCAGAGAAGAAATATCAAAAGACCTGCGCAACAAGGTCATGGAACTTTATAATGATGGAAGAGAATATAAAAAGATACCCATAGCCTTGAATATGCCAGTCAGTACTGTTCACTCACTTATTAAGAAGTGGAAGGTTTGAGGATCTCTTGATACCAAGTCATGTTCAGGTAGACCAAGAAAGATTCCAGCCACAGCTGCCAGAAGAATTGTTTGGGATACAAAGAAAAACCCACGAGTAACCTCAGGAGAAATACAGGCTGCTCTTGAAAAGACTGTATTTTTTTGTTTTTTTAAGGCACACAATATGACAATATTTGAACAAAAATTACCTGCATGGTTGAGTTGCTTGAAAGAAGCCGTTACTGCGCCAATGCCACACAAAAAACTTGGTTATGATATGCCCAACAACACCTTGATTTTTCTCACCAAGCTTTTTTGTGGCATTGGCGTAATATGTATTTTAAATGTAAAAGCTTGTAAAGGTGTATATTAGGATGTTATCCTAAAGAGAAATGTATTTGAAATATTTAATCTGTTATTTTACTTAGCTATGTTAAAGGACAAGAGAGTAATCATTACTGGAGCAAGCTCTGGCATTGGGGAGCAGATGGCTTATCACCTGGCTAGGATGGGATCCCACATATTAATAACTGCTCGCACTGAAGAGAAACTCAAAAAGGTAAGATCTTTGTGCAGCTCTACTATTTTCTGGCGTTACATTGACAGGGCAGTGAATAAAAAGTGATCTTATGACTGGAGGTCAGACATAGCACTTTTACCCCCTTCCTGCCCAGGCCTATTTTCATCTTTCAATGCTGTCGCACTTTAAATGACAATTGCGTGGTCATGCAACACTGTACCCATATACATTTTTTTTCATCTTTTTTTTTCACACAAATAGAACTTTTTTGGTGGTATCTTTTGATAAACAAATGAAAAAAGACCAAAAATGTTGGTCACGTTTTTCTTAGTTCTATTATAAAATGTTGCAAACAGGTAATTTTTCTCCTTCACTGATATGTGCTGATGAGGCTGCCCTGGTGGGCACTGATAGGCAGCACTGATGGGCACTAATGAGGCGGCATTGCCTGTGCCATGATTGCAGAGAGCACCGTGCCATGATGATCACTCCCATGCCCATGCATGGGAGTAACATCATCAAAACCAGGCCATTCAAGCAGCCAGAGAACATAAGAAAGAAGACTGGGTGAAGATTGAAGTGCCAGGATCAGCGACAGCTCAGTGCTGGAGGGCTTCATTTCACAGGTACGTTCGTAATAATGTGCAATGATGTGGTGCATACTAGCACATTATGTCATCAACCACATAGGGTCCGTTTTAAAAAAAGTGGAGTTTATTACCACTATTCAAGATGTGGTGGCTGCATTAGTTCCAGGAGATTCAGCCATAGTAAAGCAGACACCTTTGGACAGCAGCATCGTCAGTCTGGGAAGAGGGTAGTGTTAGATTAGCAGATTTAAGCAGAATTGACTAAAACAAATTGAAGCTGAACTCCAGCTTATACTTTATGAGCAGTTACATCAAACAGTTTTTTTTTTTCCTTTGAGATAAAGGATTTACTCAACCCTCTAATTGCTCCTTTGTCTGAAAAGCTCAATCTGTTAAAGTAAGTTGAAAAATAACAGACTTCCTGGCTGAATCACCAGGTGAAAATAAAGGAAAAAGAGCTAAAAAAAGAAAACTAAAGCAGTCATTACATCTAAGAATTGGTGAGCTGCAACTTAATGCATTTTTGTTTTTAAAAGCCATCCCTACCATAATCAAGTGTTCTTGCATGGCAAGACCACTTACTGTTATCTCACATATATATTCTTATTATTATAGCCAAATTTACCACCCTAACTCCTCCCACAGTTTCTAAACTACATAGACAGTAATATACCGAAACGTGCGGATTGTTCCCGATTGGTGTGCTATTACTTTGTGGAACGTTTGGCCGAATGGTTCACGAAATATCAGCGTTTTTGTGGTGAAATTGGTCCCATAGGAATGAATGGCGCAATGTTCAAAACTAGTTATTCTGCCCAGTCCAACCTTTTCACATTTACTCCAGCCACTCCAACCACTCCAACCACACAACAGTTACTCAAGCCTCTCCACCCAGTTACTCCGTCCACTCCAGTTGTAGACTACTGGTGGAGGCAAGAACACTTTACACAATTTCTCCAGAAATTGTAGCTTTTCTAGTTCCATTCTGCATTTATTACAAAGCCAAGTGAGAAGTCTCCCCCAGCTGGATCTCACATAATAAAAAAATAAAATAACATATGGAATTCCCAACAGTGAGTTACCCACTTATTGGCTGCAGTTGGGAACATAGTTAAAGATTTCTCTCTGTTAGGCCTCGTTCACATGTGTGGACCATGATTTTCTGCACAGGGATGCACAGGTGTTATGCTCATTGTCCTGCAGGCACCCTTGTTCATTTCAACTGGAACACAGCGGCTGCATGCACACAACTGAGGCTCCCAATTTAATAGCTGTGGGGGTGCTGGTGCCCCCAAATGCACACTGTTCGGAGCTACTCACCCGCACTCACATTACTGTCAAATTGGAAGCAGCAACTGTGTATGTGCAGGTGCTGCATCCCAATCAACATAAACAAGACTGCCTGCATGTGGATGCCCAGAGCACCTGAAAAAAATTTTCTGTATTTACTATGCTTCAACTTGTGAATGAACAGGAGCCTCCGTACAGAGTGCTTTCTGTTCATTCACTGTCTAGTGCAGCTGAGGCTGCAGATAAAGGGATGGAGGAATCTGTGTCTTCAGTCCCTTTCTCTGTCTCTAAAAGTGAGACATCAGGGGTCTGTTTAGACCCCTGATATTTCACCAAAGCTCCCCTTCAGCCCAACAGCATTGTGAAAAAAATAATAATTAAAAATGTGTAAAAAAAAATAAAACGTAGAAAATAATTAAAAAAAAAATTAAGGGCTCATTTACACGCATTCTCTGGCCCATACAGTGTGAATGAGCATTTTTGTTTGTGCAGTTGGAGCCGCCTGTTACTTTATGATGACGCAGCACCTGTACAAGCATAGCCGCAGTTCCTAATTTGACAGGGTGAGTGACCCTGAATGCACTCTGTCTGTCTACAGGGGCCATACACCTGCATTCACACACCTGTCAAATTAGGACCTGTGTTCAAACAGCCACTGCATCCCCATGGCATAACATAGGCAGCCTACACACAGCTCCGGCCACAAAACACTGATTCACATTTTACAGGCCACCCATGTTATTGAGCCCCAAGACTCCGTTCACACACAGAGCTTTGTTTATTAACTCAATACAGTTTTATCTTTTAGATTTAGCAGGAATTTTTTACAACCTGTTATTTTGTGTTTGCTAATAATGTATTTTTAGTAAAAATATCATTTTAATATTTTGGGAGGGTGGGGCCCTGTCAGGTAGGCTGTACAGGGCCCCCCTGATTACAAACAGCAGCCCTACCTGGCTTCTGCTGTGACCAAGTATCCTGTGACCAACCCTCTCTCCCTCAAAAGATGCCAAAAAATTCTCTACAAGCAAAAGATTAACAGTGTGGAAGTCACTCCACTGGTCACAGCTGGTGGGTTGGTTAAATGCTACGGGTCAACTATGAAACTGTTGGTTGTATTTAGAAAGGCCCAATACAACCAACAATTCCTTCAGAGTTGAGCACTACATTTGCACTACACATCAATGGTTCTGGCTGATGAGACCTAAAGAATATTTTACAATTAAAATGAGGAATAATGCTCTTATTTTTTTGATATATGAAGAAATGAGATGTGAATATCTTTGGTTGGTGGCCTCTAGTTCTTTTAGTTCCTGTTTACTATAACATGTATGGTTATACTGTCCAATTAAGAAGCTGTACTTTGAATTTATCAGTCACATACAGATGGCCCATACCTACATTGTTTTTTTTTTTTTTCTCCTAGGTTGTAGAAAAGTGTACAAAGCTCGGATCAGCATCTGCTTATTATATACATGGAAGCATGGACAACATGACTTTTGCTAAACAAGTAGTTCATGAAGCAGAACGTTTATTTGGTAAGAGCATAAAAAATCTTCATAACAATTTAGATGCCTAGACTAGCAGTCATCAATGTAATGTTCCTAAAGTGACCGAATTTAAAGTTGAATTAAAGCGGAAGTAAATTGTTCCCCCGCAATGTAAAATCGTAATGTACTACGTAGTATGCACTGCATATTATCACATTATGACAGACTTACCTGTGAAACCACTGACAGGGAATCCATCTTTGTTGGGTTTGCTGGCTGCGGTCTCATGAATGTGCCGAGCCGCGATGATGTCTCACCTGCGCATGCGTGCGGGAGTCACTGTTTATGGCACAGGGCTTTGAAAGAACAGCACAGTCATGCCATTCCTTCACAGCACATGGGTTGGTGACGTCACTATGCTACACAGGTAAATATCTTCTAAACAGTGCACGTTTAGGAGATATTTACAGTGCCTACAGGTAAGCTTTATTATAGGTTTACCTGTAGGTACAAAGCAAAAAAAGGGAGTTTACCCTCACTTTAAACCCTTCTATCCTTGTCAGCCAAGGAAACTGCCATCTTATGCAGGCCATAGACGGGTCGAAAACAGGCTGTTTTTTTTTTTTAAAAAAAAGAAAAATCTGTCGTTCAATAGGCTGACATTACCACCAACGGTAAAAAAAATCGTCCCGTCTACGGCCGGCATTTAATTACTTCTGTCCCTGCAGAGAGCTCCGCTATTATATTTGACTTGAAAAAGTATTGCGGTTGCAACAATGTATCCATTTCTATCCATTTCGGATACAGATGTTTTTATTCGGATACAAATAGATACATTTTTGCAACCGCAATACTTTTTCATGTCAAATATAATAGCGGACTGGAATTCTTCTTCTTTTTCTTCTACTTTTTATCTTCCTCTTTTTTTTTTTTTTTCTTCTTCTCTTCTTCTTTTTCTTCTTCATGCAGGCCACGGCTCATGTGAAGATTTTTAATCGGTAAAAAAGATCGGCCGAATTTCCCATCATTGCCGGGAAAATCGGCCGATCGGCAAAATCGGACGATTTTTTTCCAACTTCACCAATAAAAAAAATGTGCCAAAACGGCCGGCCAATTAACCCATTAACGGTGAGAAAATCGGCCGTTTTTTTTCTTCTTTTTTTTTTCGTCTGAATTTTTTGACCCGTCTATGGCCTGCAAAAGCCCCTGTTTGATCTGCAACTGCCATGGTGCTGCACATGTGATCAGTTATGACACCAGCCATTTGATGGTTTGACACATTGGTTGAGAGCACAAGCAAATGTGACAATTCGCATTCCAGGCACTCCTTGAATGTAACTGTTTTTTGAAACAATTAGTCAATGGGTTTAGTTCCACTTTAAAGCAGTCAGCTGATCAGCCTCTTGTGGCTCTGATTTTAGACACAGTGCAGAGAATAATCCTCCTGCAAATGTAGCAGAGTGTTGAGAAAAACCATTTACCACTGACAGCTTTTATTTATCCATGTAAAACTTGTATCCCAAAAGAAAAAAAAAATGGTTGCTGCAACTGCTTGTGTAACTGCAGTGTGAGTTGGAGTTTGGCTTCAATTTGTACTACTCCTAAATCTACTTGTACATCTAAAGCTGGCCATGCATGGGTCATTTTTTTTTGTTCAGCCAGTGAGTTGAAAGAAAAAAAAACTGACCAGATTCCCCCCATCCAGTGTGGATACAGAAATCCCCCCCACTGTGTCATTGTATTCTGACAGCAGAACTCCCCTGCCGTAAGAATACACTGATATTGGCTCCATTTGCTGATCGAGCAAAGAACCAACAAGCCATGTACATGTGCACCGTGGTGTACAAAAGGCTGATAGAGGTCGTATGATCTGCACCAGGGACACACACTCTGGGGTACTGTGGCCACCTATCTTTTTTTTTTTGTTGTTGTTGTACAGTGGTGCACTGCAAAGCCCTGCAACACACAAAAACAATATATCAGGTGGTCACTGCACAGATATATGACGTGCATATCCCAGGAGGCAAAGGGAGCACAGTGCATGACATTTGCCTAGGTGAAATAAATAAATAAATGGGAAAAAAGCTTGCTATATATGTAGAGGACCAGAGGAGGGGTGAAGCGGAGGGATGCAACTTTGTAAGGTGAAGAGCAGCTTAAGGCGCCATGTACACAGGACGTTTGGAAAACACTTCTGAACGATGGAAACTGAGTGCTGGAAAACGTAGGTTAAAAAATGTCAGCTTAGCCACATTTGCATACCGTGTTTATGCGCATTTGCGTTTAGAAGAGTTTTTTAAAGATAACATCAGAAGACCTTCCAAAATTCCCGGAATGCACTGAAAAACAGTAAAAATTTTACTATTTCAGACATTTTGAGAGAAATAGAGCAGAAGCAGAGAGAGCAGTGTGTGTTGAGATCAGGGGCGGACTGACCATTTGGAAACTCGGGCACTGCCCGAGGGCCCAGGGTCAGTAGGGGGCCCCATGAGATGCCCCTGGTACCTTTTTCATAGGCTTTTTTTGAGTATGGGCAAGGACACAGGGGCCCCATGATCCCCTATTGCCCGGGGGCCCCATGAGTTGTCAGTCCGCCCCTGGTTGAGATGACCTGTCTTTTATGGTTGTATTCACTATGGATCCCATCATGAGCATAATACAGCACGTTCTACCATTTTTTCCTTCATGCAGAACCTGGAACTGCCTGCGCTGGTGTACTAGGTCCATGGGAATACATGGAAAATGCTTTGCATGCATTTCTGTTGATGAAAAAAGGCTATGGAACAGTTTAAAGATGCTTCTAAACGCAAACGCTTATAAGCACGGTTAGCCGCGTTTAAAAACGTTTGGCGGTTGAAACGCTGATAAAATCTACTCCTGAACGCAAGTTTGGTGCTTTCAAACAAACGACTAAACTCAACTGCCTGTATACAAGGATGTGTACATGGACACATAGGAAAAATTAGGGAGAGTTCAGGGGCTGCTGAAAAAAACGCAGAAAAGCTCCTGAACGTGAGTTTATCAGTTGCAGTGTACTTGAACCCTAAGGCTGGCTGTGTTTAGAAAAGAAACTGTAATGGAACAATTTCATTGTATTAAAATACTTGTGCTGAGGTTTGCATATGTTGGTAAACTCTTGCTTGTGGCACAGTCATTAAAACAAATTGTGAGTAAAGGGACTGTGGCATATGGGTATTGAGTTTAGGAGGAGTAAACTCAGGTTTTATTTAACTTTGCCCTCATGATCCCCGTGTGTGTGTGTGCGTTCGTGCGTGTGTGTGTGTAGGGGTGGTCAGTGTGGTGGGAAAAAAATTATCAGTCCCAGGTACCAGATATGTTAGGCATGCCACTTGTTGGCACCATTGGCTGTTAGTGAATTTTGGGTCAATATATCCCCAGTTCTTCCTGTGACTTCAGCATCCATGTTTAGACAGGGCAAAGTTGGTCTAGCTCTCTTCCTTGTCTTCCTCTGCAACAATATGTCACTTTAACAGTATAACTATATCATACGATTAATAAAAGTGAGCAATAAATCACTAATATATGTAATCTGTTGCTGCAGAATTGCTTGGTGGAAGTGGTGGGGGGGGGGGGTCTCTCTTACCTGATTTAAACCCCTAATGATTAAAAAAAAGAGACAAAAATAAGACGTATTAAAATTAAAAAATACAAATCAAATACTTTAATAAAAGATATCCCCTTGCCATATTATTCCTCAGGTCTTAACAGACATATCAGATATTATGGTCAGTGGTGACTCTAGGAACAATATATAGGGCGCCACATAAGATACCACAGTCAAAACTGGGGAGGTGCTAATAATTTTCACCACTAAATCATACCACTGAAAAAACAAAATAAGTATATATAAATAAGATTACAACATACAAGAGTAATGTGGTATGCAATGATCTGAGACTGCGGACATGGCACAAGAGACGATCAGAGACTGCGGACATGGCACAAGAGACGGTCAGAGACTGCGGACATGGCACAAGAGACGGTCAAAGACTGCGGACATGGCACAAGAGATTGTCAGAGACTGCAGTCATGGCACAAGAGACGTTCATAGACTGCAGCCATGGCACAAAAGACAGTTTGAGACTGCGGACATGGCACAAGAGAGGATCAGAGACTGCAGACATGGCACAAGAGAGGATCAGAGTCTGCAGACATGGCACAAGAGAGGATCAGAGTCTGCAGACATGGCACAAAAGAGCATCAGAGACTGCAGACATGGCACAAGAGAGGATCAGAGACTACAGACATGGCACAAAAGATCAGAGTTTGTGGACATGGCACAAGAGACAAGCAGAGACTGTGGACATGGCACAACAGACGATCAGAGACTACAGACATGGCACAAGAGATGGTCAGAGACTACAGATATGACCCAAGAGATGATCAGAGACTGCAGACAAACCATGTGTCTCTAGAGGGCAGGGCCAGTAAAATAAAATACTGTACACCCCCAGTCAGACTCAGACATCATAAAGCTAAAAGCAGCATCGATCTTGCTTGCTTGCTTGCCCACAGTGATGATCTTCATCTGTGCTGTGCCAGTGCCACTCGCGCTCCTCCTGTGCCTCCTCTTGGCTCTAGCCCCTCCCCCTGGTCTCACTCAGCTCCTCCCTGGTGTCCCTCCTCATCTCTCACACCCTCAATTGTCTCTGTGTGCTGTTGGACTGGAGGTATTTGTGTTCCTCTCTCTGCTACTGCCCAGGTGGGAGGGATTTTTTTTTAGCATAGTGAGCCTCAAGGGCTGAAGGGAGAGAGGTGTCTCCAAGTCCGAGGAAGGCCATCTTGCTCTCTCTGCCCTGACTCTGGCAGAGAGGAGGACGAGGAGTGGAGTAGGCAGGGCCGGGACTCGGAAGAGCCCAGAGGTGTATTTTGGTTGTGGGGGGTCAGGGAGAGAGAGAGATTCCAGCACTCACCCACCGACCACCCTGGGAACCAAGATCAAGAAAGCCCAATGTCTTCCTTCTTTGCCGATCTCTGACAATGATCTGAAACCGAGAGACAGACACCCTTCAGCAGTCCGCAGCAGCCCGCACTGTTGTGCCTGTGCCTCACCTCCTCCCCATCCTCAGTCACCGGCTGCCACAGGTGCCACGTCTGCCAGTGGGTGGCATCACCTCCCTGAAAAATGTCGCCCTAGGCAAACGCCTTCTAAACCTGACCTGAACCACTAAACAACTACTGTATCAATTAGCTGTTAAACCTGAGCTTCAATCCGCACCACACATATGTGAATCAGCACTCAATGTTCACTTTGCAAAGTCATTTTTTATCTAGCTTAGTAATTAAGGTTAGGCTATGCTGAGTTTCATCATCCAATCATATGTGAGCAAAAATCCAGTTTTTTAGTTTCCTTGCACAGAATTGGATATCCTATGTTGGATATCCTCATTCACTAAGCTATGTGAAATTTCACTTTGTTCCAGAAACATTTTGGTGTCATGATGAATGAGACAACTTGCAGAATAAAATTAGCAATTGTTTTAACGTTCTCAGTAGTCAAATTGAAAAGTCTTTTTTTCACTGTTTTACTTTGTTTTAACTTACTTTTCTTTAAAATATACACTATATTGCCAAAAGTATTGGGGCGCCCCTCCAAATCATTGGATTCAGGTGTTCCAATCAACTCCATGGCCACAAGTCTATAAAATCAAGCACCTAGGCATGCAGACTGTTTCTACAAACATTTGTGAAAGAATGGGTCACTCTCAGGAGCTCAGTGAATCCAAGCGTGGTACCGTGATAGGTTGCCACCTGTGCAATAAGTCCATCCATGACGGTTCCTTGCTACTAAATATTCGACTGTTAGTGGTGTTATAACAAAGTGGAAGCAACTAGGAACAAAAGCAACTAAGCCACGAAGTGGTAGGCCCCGTAAATTGAGAGAGTGGTCTCAGCGCATGCTGAAGCGCACAGTGCTCAGAAGTCGCCAACTGTCTGCAGAGTCAATAGCTAAAAACCTCCAAACTTCACTTGGCCTTCAGATTAGCACAACAACAGTGCATAGAGAGTGTCATGGAATGGGTTTCTATGGCCGAGCAGCTGCATCCAAGCCTTACATCACCAAGTGCAATGCAAAGCGTTGGATGCAGTGGTGTAAAGCATGCTTCCACTAGACTCTAGAGCAGTGGAGACGTGTACTCTGGAGTCATGCTTCTCTGTCTGGAAATCTGATGGATGAGTCTGGTTTGGCAGTTGCTAGGAGAACGGTACTTGCCTGACTTCATTGTACCAAGTGTAGAGATTGGTGGAGGGGGGCTTATGATGTGGGGTTGTTTTTCAGGGGTTGGGTTTGGTCCCTTAGCTCCAGTGAAAGGAACTCTTAAGACGTCAGCATACCAAGACATTTTGGACAATTTCATGCTCCAAACTTTGTGGGAACAGTTTGGGGATGGCCTCTCACTGTTCCAACATGACTGCATACCAGTGCACAAAGCAAGGTCCATAAAGACATGGATCAGCGAGCTTGGGGTGGAGGAACTTGACTGGTCTGCACAGATCCCTGACCTCAACCTGAGAGAACACCTTTGGGATGAATTAGAGTGGAGACTGAGAGCCAGGCCTTCTTGTCTGACATCAATGCCTGACCTCACAAATGCGCTTCTGGAAGAATGGTCAAACATTTCCAAAGACACACTGCTAAACCTTGTGACTAGCCTTCCCAGAAGAGTTGAAGATGTTATATCTGCAAAGAGTCGACCAACTCAATATTGAACCCTATGGACTAAGGATACTATTAAATTTCATGTGCGTGTAAAGCGTCCCAATACTTTTGACAATATAGTGTGTGTGTGTGTGTGTGTGTGTGTGTGTGTGTATGTGTGTGTATATATATGTGTGTGTATATATATATATATATATATATATGTGTGTGTGTATATATATATGCTATTTTGAATCAATTTAAAATGTTTTTTTCTGATTACATATGTAAACAATGAGAAATAAGATGAAGGGACACCATGTAATGTTGCAGTCAACTTGTTTATTATATTGGAAACCAATTTTTTGCTGTTAGTATTGAATTTTGATGTAACGTTCTTTAACTGCTTACAGAGACATATAAAGCACACAAATTGATTGAAACATTACATGGTGTGATACCAGGATTTTCTATATGGAAAATCCTGAGTTTTTTAAATATATAATACATGCAATTGATAAAGTTAATTTTTATAACTTGAATTATTTTTCCCCTTATGGACGTGAGTGAGATGTCTCTAATATCGAAGTTTTGCCTAAGGCCTCCCAAAGCCTAGAGCAGCCTCTTTTAGTATGCAGTTATATTTTGTGTATCCAGGAAAGAATCCAGGCCTTTATCAAAAAAATCTACTGAGCTGGCCAGGACCAGCTCTTGAGGGAGTCTATTCCACATTTTCACAGCTCTTACTGTGAAGAAGCCTTTCCATATTTGGAGATTCAGATTTTTTACCTCTGGATATAAAGAGTGTCCTCTTGTCCTCTGTGATGAACTTAAGGTGAAAAACACTAAACTAAGTTCACTATATGAACCACTGATGTATTTATACATGTTGATTATATCCCCCTAATCTCCTCTTCTCAAGAGAGAATAAATTCAGTTCATAGTTACATAGTTAGTCTGGCTGAAAAAAAGACAAAAGTCTAGAGCAGTGGAAACGTGTTCTCTGGATTGATAAAATACCCTTCTCTGACTGGCAATCCGATGGGTGTGTCTGGGATTGCCGTTTGCCAGGAGAACGGTGCTTCCCTGAATGCATTGTGCCAAGTGTAAATTTTTGTGGAGGAGGGATTATGTTATGTGGTTGTCTTTCAGGATTTGGGCTTGGTCCCTTAGTTCCAGTGAAGGGAACTCTTAAGACATCAGCATACCAAGACATTTTAGACAATTTCATGCTCCCAACTTTGTGGGAACAGTTTGGGGATGGCCCCTTCCTGTTCCAGCATGACTGTGCACCAGTGCACAAAGCAAGTTCCATAAAGAGTCCTGACCTCAACCTGATAGAATACCTTTGGGATGAATTAGAGCGGAGACTGTGAGCCAGGCCTTCTCGTCCAACATCAGTGCCTGACCTCACAAATGCGCTCCTGGAAGAATGGTCAAACATTCCCATAGACACACTCCTAAACCTTGTGGACAGCCTTCCCAGAAGAGTTGAAGCTCATATGGTGGGTCAACTTAATATTGAACAGACTAAGACTGGGATGCCATTAAACTTCATGCGGGGCAGCACAGTAGCTAAATGGTTAGCACTTCCGCCTGGCTGTACTAGAGTCAAATCCCAACCACAGCACCACCTGCCTGGAGTTTGCATGTTCTCCATGTGCCTGTGTGGGTTCCTCCAGGTACTTTATTTTCCTCCCACACTCCAAAACATGCTGGTAGGTTAACTGGCTCTTGTCTAAAATTAGCCCTAGTATGTGTATGTATGAATGTGAGTTAGGGACTTTAGATTGTACACTCCTTGAGGGTTAGGGACTGATATGAATGTACAAAATATATATGTAAAAGCACTTCATAAAATTGACAATGCTATATAAGTACCTATAATAAATAAATAAAATAAATATAAATGTGCATGTAAAGGCAGGCATCACAATGCTTTTGGCAATATAATGTATATGGATGAACTAATTGGCCCATAGATAAAATTTTAAAATAGCTCTGGAGCTCAAACAGTTAATTAGAATTTTTGTTTTGCCATTCATCCATTCAGGTAAGCAGTTGGTGGGGTGTGTGTTTGTGGGGCTCCTTTAATCACTTCCTGTCCGGCCCATATACAGTACATAAACGGCCGGATGGGAGCAGTGCAGGAGCAGGTGACCATTTATAAACGTCCTCCCACATTCCCTGCCTGCGTGCGTTCCCTGGGAGTGCGCAACACCGTGATCCGGCGCCCGCTGTGTCCGGAGGACACAGTGGAACACTGATCGCTGTACGGGACCTCTGTGTGAGGTCCCGATCATGTGATCACTGATTGGCCAATCAGTGATCACATGAATAGTAGTAAGATGTCACTTCCTGGCATAATTGCTTACTACTAGTGAAATCTGTGAATGATCACAGAAATCACATGGTACAAGGCTATTCACAACAGCCTTGTACCATATGACAAGCTGTGACCAATCACAGCTCTCACAGTATTTCTCTATGGCTGCAAGAATGCAGCCACACAGAAGGAAAAATTATTGCTTTTACAGCCTTTATGGGTGTAAAAGCAATCGGTGTAAAAAAAAAAAAAACTTCATCACACCCCCAAGTAGTACAGTGTCACTATGGTGACACTGTACTGCTAGGGTGACAGTATGAAAAAAAGAAACACAAATAATAATATAAAAAAATAAAAATGTAAAAAACATTTTTGAAAAATTATTTTTGGTTATAAACTAATTTGGGTTATTTTTTTTTTTTTTACTAAAAAGATAGATGAATACATTTTGGCAAAGATTTATGAAGAAAGATTATTTATTTGCAAAATTTTATAAGAAAACACTTTTTTTTTCAAAATGTTTGGACTTTTTCATTTATATAGCAAAAAAATAAAAATCCCAGTGGCAAATAAATACCACCAAAATAATGTTTTATCTGTTTTAAAAAAAATGCTTAAAAAAATCATAAGGGTACAGTGTTGCATGACTGCTCAATTGTCATTCAAAGTGTGATAGCACTGAAAGCTGAAAATTGGCCTGGACAGGAAGTGGGTGAAAGTGTCTGGACTTGAAGTGGTTAAAAAGAAACATTCTTCAAAATAAAAGTTGAATATTTTAAAAATTCCATCCTAATAAATAATATTAGCAAGTTTATATGTTTAAAATACTATTCATAGCAAGAAAAAAGTGTTTTTTTAAAAATAATTTGATGTGATGATATTGATTTTATTTTCCTACTGCTTCTATTGACAGATTCACTTTACTAACAGTATCAATTCCTTCAAGTTATATTTTTAATGGCCATTGCATTGACTTTTTTTTCTTTATGAATAGGTGGACTGGACATGCTCATTTTGAACCACATTGGTTTCACATACTTTGGTTTCTTCGATGGAGATGTGGATCACATAAGGAAACTACTGGAAATTAACTTTCTAAGTTATGCAACTATGACGGTGGAGGCGCTTCCAATGCTAAAAGCAAGTGGTGGCAACATTGTGGTGGTCTCCTCCTTTGCTGGTAATTGCAAATTTATAAACTATGAGTTCAGTGCCTAATGCACATAAACGTGTTTGGACTGTTTTAGGGAATTGTAACAGCCAGTAGACATTTTTGTTTAGTTTTGGATGCAATCGTTCACTAAATAATTTCATCATATTAATTATGTTGAACTGATTCATTTTCATATTTTGTTTTGTATCTTTGGCATTTGTTTCATATATATTCGTTGGTTCAGGTGGATTCGAAAAATAATGCAGTTTTTCTGGAAGATTGCTATACAGTATATTCTTTATATTATCGAATCGGACGGATTCAATATTTTTGAATGATAGTCCAACCCACCAAGAGAAATGGCATTAGCTGATTGTACAATATTGACAGGCATCCTGTGCATCCGAATTAACAAATGGAACGAAATTCAGATCCATTCGTTACCTGAATCCGAATCTTTGAACAAATTTGAAAATTTTATTAATTTCCCCATGGGACCAAACTACTAATGCATCATGTGACGTCATCTGAATGCAATAAGTCATTAATTAATTTCATTATAACTTTTTTCGGATTCATTGACATTATTATGTCCATTCGGAAATTCGTATACATCCAAATCTCCAAAAATAACATTTTCGTCCGAAAAATGAATAGTTGGGAAGCGAAAAGCACATGTCTAATAGAAAGGATGAGGCTGTTGGTCCCAGAAAATACATGCAGATTTCTGAAGTTTGGGAAAGAGAAAAAAAGGGGACAGATAAATTATATGAGATCAAGTGTTGGTAGACAAATGTTAACGATTAAGAGTCACTAGAGTGTAACAGCAAAAACAGAAATAAGGAAGTTGGCATAATTGTTTGTTTTTAAAAGTGTCATTATTATAGGGCTGTCATGCTAGTTCTGATCTGGAATAAGCATGCAGCCTGTGAAATTGAAACTCATCTGCACGCTTGTGTCTGGTGAATTGCCTTTTTTTGTCCAAAATGTACTTTGTTATACCCTGATGCCCCAGTATGTATGACACCTCAACTTAGGCAAGTGAGACTAAGGAAAAAAATAAAGGGTTCAAGGCACAAATAAGCAAATTAAGTACATCAATGGGACAAGCTACACCATTACAAGGCAGAGAACATAGAAACACACTGAAATCATGGAAACAAGACACTTAAGGACACTTTTCTCTGTGTTCCTAGTCCCTCATGCTTCTTTGCCTTTGTCAAAAAGATTACAAGACTCATGGCAAGAAGGATTAATCCAAGTACAACAGACAAATACAGCTAAACAAAGGAGTAAGGCATGCAAAACTAGAATGAACTAGAAGAGTTGGCAATTCTGAGGAGCTCAGAAACAAGATGCTGGAATACAGATGGTGTCATAAATTAGAATAGCCATCTAAACTGCCCACAATTGGCACGGTTGAAAACAAGAGAATGCACAGTAACTTTCAAAAGAATGTGAATAGTCTTATAGCAGTTATAGCAACCCCCCTTCTCCAAGTTATAGCAGGAGAAAAAAGTAAAATATACTGACCTTGGGCCACAGCTTCTGGGTCCTCTTGCCTTGGTGTTGGTGATGTTACTTAGCCTCACCAAAGGATTCTGGAAAAGCCAAGACAATATGTTTTGCCTTTCCATGAGTGGAACAAGGCAGGGTCCAGTGCCATACCAAGACTTTGCTACTGTTTGGAACTGTAGCTAAATTTTGTTTTACTTTTCATCTACACTACTGCCCAGTTCACCCCCCATACAAACATATGACAGAAGCTCAACTAAAAAACCAAGAATGACCCATCATTATTATGCATGGTCTGCACTAACATCCTGGACATAGTAATGACAAAGTGAGAATCTCCACCCTGACTTCACTTCAACCAATGCAGTGAAATCTGTTTTGGGTGCGCTGGCTCATAAAGAGAATCCTCACCACCAATAACCACTTCATGTGTTTGCCTGCAGGTAAAGTTGGATTACCTCTCACTGTGCCTTATTCTAGCACCAAGTTTGCTCTTGATGGTTTCTTCAGCTCACTGAGAATGGAGTTCCACCACCAGAAAGTTAACGTCTCCATTACATTGTGTGTTCTCAGCTATATTGACACAGGTAAATAATAAGCAATATAATCTTTGCATTTCTTTATTCTTCATATATTCTTTGCATATACTTTCATGTTATGTGTTGCATTTTTTATAATATTTAAAAACGAAAAGCAAATTATTCATGAGAAGCCCTTTTAAACTGTATTTTTGATAAATGTACTAACACATTAATAAAAAAAAGTTCCCAATTTATCCATTTATGTGTACAGTACATTAAACAATGCTTAAATGTATTTCTAAAGTCCAACCTCAGAGATAAATTTGTTTCATTTTGGATGGGAAAGGATTGGAACCTCTTCCAGATTTTTAATCACTGTTTGTGTTCCTTTTTGAGAGATTCTCCCTAACTTCATGTACTGATGAAACCCCATGTGTCAGGATGTCAACAAGAAAGGAAATGAGGAAAATTCTCCCCATCAGAGGCATAAGCAGCAATAAGCTATAGATGTGCAAGAAGGAAATCTGGATCTTATATTATAAGAAGCTGGTTTGTTGGCTGCTCTGGCAAGGGAATTGTGTAGCTGAGCAGTGAATGCGATATACAGTATTATAGAAATGGCTGCCAGGCAGCAGTGACTGGGCAATGTACTGCGGAGCAGTGTATGAGTTATTCATTGTGCAAAGAGGTCAATGTAGTACCTCCGTACTATTTTGATAAGTGGTGTTGGTAGCACTTTATGTTGGTGGAGAAATGCTCCTTGTATTAGTGGTCAATGTGGCACCCTCTTGCTTTGGTGGTCAGCAGTGATTTTCTTACATTTGTAGTCAGTGGGTAGCGCCATATTACCTTGGTGGTCAGTGGAGCAATGTCCCCTAGGTTGTCAATGTGGTAGTGGCTCTTTTGCATTGGTGGGCAGAGATTTAAGGAAAAAAGTGTTCCCTTGTGTTGGCATTCAGTGGGATAGTGTCCTCATACTTTGGTCAATATAATGTCCCTTTTTTGATGGACAGTAATATACACCTTTTGAATCGGTTGTCTTTGTATTGCCCCTTTACGTTGGTAGTCAGTAGTGCAGTGTCCCCTTAAATTGGTGTTCATAGTAGCTAAATAGTACAAGTGGGGTCCCCCAGCACATTTTTCAAGCTAGCCAACAAAAAAAAAAATTTTCAAATATATGTGGAAACCACACTGACTTGTCAAGACATTTCTGATAAGTGTTGTCTCTGACTGTATAATCTGATTTCCAACTATAGGACATTTACAACATTGCACGAACAGAGAGCAAGCTCTCAATGAGGGTCCTCTAACTCTAAAGGTATAACAATGCACTGGAAGCCCAAACACCACTTTTGCAAGGCATCTAAAGACTTCCAGTGTGCGTTTGCACAAAAGCCAAAAAAAAATCAACAATGGTAACTGAAACTAGTAAAATGGGAAAGGTTAGGCCCCAAGTGCAACCAAAAGTAAAAACAGGAAAATCAACACAAACATAACTTACAGGCAGTAGGATGTGTCCCTTGGTAGGTGGGGGGGGGGGGGGGGGGGGGGATATAACTAAGAGGCAGTCATAGACTCTGCTCAGTAGAACCCAACTATACCCACTTTTTTCTCCAAGCTGCTCCATTCATAGAAGCCAAACTACATCTTCTAATAATTAAATATAATATGAGTTGGAGAGGGCACACATTTCAATCATCCACCCATCCTTCATTCTTAGATCCTGTTTCATACATAGAAGCTGGGTTAGAAAGGATGAACATAGACCAGTGGGTTGTGTTACCCCCCACCACACTGAGTTATGGAGGTGGGGGTCAGGATGAGGGGGATTAATACTAAAAGAAAAGGGATCAGCACAAAGGACATATCCTACTGCTGTCATTTATGTCCCTTGTGCAGATTTTTCAGTTTTTGCTTTTAGCTGCACTTACGCTTTAAAATTGGCAGGGCAGTATATACAAAACAGTACAAAGGGGGTCCACAGTACACTTTTAAGCTAGCCAGGGTGAAAAAATATATATATTTATCAACCACTCAGGTTAAAACAGAGGTAGTAGCTAAATGTATTATTGGAATCAGTGGTTATTTGCCTGATTAGGAGAGGCTTTATATCCCATTCCATTGGCTCTGGCTTTGCTGACAAATGTCAATTCTGGAACTGTCAAGTTGGCGAGCATTCCCCCAGCAATACTGGCATGCCAGCTGGGCAACCCTTCCTTTACCCATTGTCATTGAATCCAAGCAGAGTGATTGACACTGCAAAGAAGACCTTTGAAGTCAATTTTACATAGTTTTCATAGATAACGTGACAGGAAACAATAAAGGGCTTACAAGAACCTCTATGAACAAGTATTGTTGGATGAGATAGCAAGAGGTATCTGCCAGCTCTGCTTTAGATGTAAATATCTGTCCATGGCCTACAAAAGATATAGTTTCTACATTTGTTACCATGAGTAGATTTTTTCTTAGGCTTCCATGGGAATCATCTAGTAGATAAAACATGACCTAGATTATTGCTTATTGTGGCATCTTTTAGAACTGTTTGTTGGGGTCAGGAATTACATTAAATGTCTATTCATCAATTACTTGTAGTCTTAGCTACATGTGACAATCACACAGGATATCATTTTGTTGCATCAGACACTGCAAATCTACCTCTATTAATTTTTTTGGAGCACATGCTTCCTAAATTCCTCTTTGCAGGGTGAAGCAGCACATAGAGCAGTGGTTATCAACGTATGAGATAAGGAGGCCTCAAACGGCAACATATAATGTTCAATATATGTACTGCTTGGGAGGACTGTCAGAAACTGCAGGAAATGGAGATCAGAGAGTGTGGACATGCTACATTTTTGGTGGGGGATATACTGCAGAAGACACTTTCAAACTAGGAACATGTTACTTGAGCCTAGTAGAGACAATGCTATAACCCTAATCAATGTTCCCACTACAGACTACTGAGGTCCAAAGGCCATACATCATATACCAATGGACTGCGTGTGGCCTTTAGGCCACAGGTTGGGCACCAGGAACTTAGAGGATGTACTGGTGCTCTGCAGACATATACCATGTCTCAGGCAAAATGTCCTTCAGAGATATACAGTATATAATTTTTTTTTTTTACATTCTTCAGAGCTGTCTCAATATAATTGACTTGGTGAGCACAGGACTCGAGGGATTTACATAATTATTATATAAATAAGCAACACCAAAAACAGACCTAGGCCACATTTCTGTTCAGTTCTTGTACCCTTATACTGCTTGAAGTGGAGTTCCACTCAAAAGCGGAAGCTCCGCTTAGTTGCCTTCCCCCCTCCCCCTCCACTGCCATATTTGGCACCTTCTGGGGGGAGCGGATACCCTGTTTTTGACAGGTAACCGCTCCCATTTCCGGCTCAGTTTGCCGCAGCAAAGTGAGCCGGAAGTTCGGCCCACTTCTTCCTCCTGCAGTCTCCTGGGAATCTTCACAGGTCCCAGGAGACTGTCGGACCAATGTGAATGCGCAGTGTGACTTGCGCACATGCGCAGTGGGCACCCAGCTGTGAAGCTGCAAGCTGTCACAGCCTGGTTCCCACAGTTGTGATGCCGGCGCCAGGGAGAGAAGAGGCAGGGAAGAAATGGTTCAGATGAGTACATCGCTGGACCCTGGGACAGGTAATTGTGTGTTTATTAAAAGTCAGCAGCTACAGTTTTTTGTAGCTGCTGACTTTTAATAAACACAGAACTGACTGGAACTCCGCTTTAACCTGTATTTGGCCAGCACAGTGATTTCCTAAATTTTTTTTCCCTATAACAACAATTCCTATGAGTAAAAAAATGAGGAATAAATCAAGGTGGTAAACTGCTATATTACTGCTGTATAAAATGTTTTCCAAATTTATTATTGCAGATTCTGCTTTAAATACCGTTTCACATGTGATTCAGCAGCCTGCTGCTCCAAAGGAGGAATGTGCTTATGAAATTATTAAAGGCGGAGCCCTGCGTCAGAGGGAAGTATATTACCAGTATGTAGCCACCAAGATCCCAATGCTCTTAAGAGACTGGGCCCCTGAATTTTTAGAATATCTTGTGCTTAAAAAACTACAACGTGGATGCACTCAGCAAGAAGGAATGAAAAATGATGAGTCAGCAAAGGAATTAAAAAAAACACGCTATTGCAAAATATGAAATGTTTTAAAGAGAAATCTGATCGAAAGACTTTTTGGGGAAAAGAGAAATGTTAATGATCTGTATCAGACTGTTGCATCATAAATGCAGTAAAAAGCGGATGATGGTTGATTACTGATAATTTAAAAAGTTCCTTATTTTACTATTGACAATCTCCTAACCAATGTGCATAATAAAAAAAAAAAACCTACCCCATTCTGCTGTGTACTTTTACAGCGGATTTCCAAGATCTACCCTTGTCTACCCTTTGTCCACGAGGTGTTGCTGGGAGAAAAAAGGTGCATTTCACTAAACTATAACAATTGACATTTTCAGCAGTAAGAGGCAGTGCTCCAAATTTGTCTGAAAATATCAGTTGTTATGGCAAAGGTTGACATCCTACATTCTATCAGTGCCATCTTTAAGCTTGAGGCAAAAGGGCTGCCCTGAGCTCATGATTGTTACGAGGTCCAAAGCAGCTGCCCCATACTTGCCAACTGTCCTGGATTACATTCCCCTGTCTCTTGAAGTCTTCATCCAGTGGTCTCAGTGTATATCTCAGTATGAAGTGCTATCACTCATGCTGCCCAACTCTGCCCTATTGCCATGTACAGATGACTCACTTGTGCAGACCATGTTATCATTCATGTGTAAATAACCAGCATTCATATGTAAATACGTGTGGCATTCATATTTATATTATGCCCTTTGGAGGTTCCAGCCAAGCACCCATCATCACCTCTGCTGAATGCTGACCACTGGGGGTAAACAGGGGTATGCTTAAAGTCCTGCCTGCCAACTGTGGTCACTGGGTCTACCATTAGTCTGTTCTGCAAATGTAAGCAAAGCACGTGGGGGGTTAGTGGTTTGTACGTCACATGTAGGGCAACCCATTAATTTCAATGGGCTGCTCTATGCATTAGAAATGTGGAAAAAGGTCCCTGACAGTTTTTCAAAAAAACAAGCCAGACAGTACCACAGCACGTGAAAATGCGCACGTCAGCAGATGTGTGAGGGTGTCATTAACAATAGCACTGCTGTGTATCTGCTAAAGGGCAGCATGTTTCTGTGGTGTCAGAAAAGTGATGCATGCATTCCCAACACAAACAAATGTGGATATAGGTTAAGTGCCTTTAATTACAGTGGTCAGTGTATATCTTCTCATTACATTGTGGTATGGTGTAGAATCCTTTCATTCACACTAGTGATCATTGTGAATATCCCCCTTACATTGGTGGTCAGTGTAAATCCCTGTTTACATTGGTGGTCACTGTGAATGCTCCTATTACAGTTGCAAGAAAAAGTATGTGAACCCCTGGGATTACGTGGAATTTTGCATGAATTGGGCATAAAATGTGCTCTGAATATCTAAGTCACAACAATAGTGGTCAGTATGCTGAAATAATACTACACAAACATTAGATGTTGCCATGGTTTAATTGCACATAACATGTAAACATTCACAGTGCAGGGAGAAAAAGTATGTGAGGCCCTAGCTTAATGACTTGTCCCAGAGCTAATTGAAGCCAGGAGTGAGCCAACCTTGACTCCAATCAGTGTGATGATATTGGATGTGTTGCTGACAGCTGTCCTGCCCTTAAAAAACACACACCTGTTTTGGGTTTACTGGTTTCAAGAAGCACTGTCTGATGTGAACCATGCCTCGCAGAAAAGAGCTCTCAGAAGACCTACGATCAAGAATTGCTGACTTGCATGAAGCTGGTTAGGTTACAAAAGTATCTCCAAAAGCCTTGATGTTCATGTGTCCACGGTAAGACAGACTGTCTACAAATGGAGAAAGTTTAGCACTGTTGCTACTTCCCTAGGCATGTGCCGTCCTGTAAAAATGACTGCAAGAGCACAGCGCAGAACGCTGCATGAGGTAAAGAAGAATCCCAGTGTCAGCTAAAGACCTACAGAAACCTCTGGCACATGCTAACATTTTTGTTGACACATCTACAATAAGGAAAAATTAAACAAGAATGGAGTACATGGGAGGACACCACGGAGGAAGCCATTGCTGTCCAAAAAGAATATTGCAGCACGTTTGAAGTTTGCAAAAGAGCACCTGGATGTTCCACAGCACTACTGGCAAAATATACTGTGGACAGATGAAACCAAGATTGAGTTGTTTGGGAAGAACACACAACACTATGTGTGGAGAAAAAAAGGCACAGCACACCAACATCAAAACCTCATCCTAACTGTAAAACATGGCGGAGGGAGCATGATGGTTTGGGGTTGCTTTGCTGCCTCAGGGCCTGGACGGATTGTTGTCAGTGATGGGAAAATGAATTCCAGAGTTTATCAAGACATTTTGCAGGAAAACGTACCCATCTGTCCGCCAACTGAAGCTCCGCAGAGGATGGGTGATGCAACAGGACAATGACCCAAAGCATACAAGTAATTCAACAAAACAATGGCTGCAACAGCACAGAATACGCCTTCTGGAGTGGCCCAGTCAGAGTCCTGACCTCAACCCGATTGAAATGCTGTGGCATGAGTTAAGAGAGCGATTCACACCAGACATCCCAAGAATATTGCTACACTAAAACAGTTTTGTGAAGAGTGGTCCAAAATTACTCCAGATCGTTGTGCAGATCTGATCTGCAACTACAGGAAACGTTTGGTTGAGGTTATTGCTGCCAAAGGAGGGTCAACCAGTTATTAAGTCCAAAGGTTCCATACTTTTTCCTCCCTGCACTGCGAATGTTTACATGTTATGTGCAATTAAACCATGGCAACATCTAATGTTTGTGTAGTATTATGTTCAGCAGACTGTGTTCTTCTATTGTTGTGACTTAGATGACATTCAGAGCACATTTTATGCCCAATTCATGCAAAACTCCACGTAATCCCAAGGGGTTCACATACTTTTTCTTGCAACTGTACATTAGTGGTCAGTATAAATCCCCTTTACATTGGTGGCCAGTGTAGAAAGTCCTCTTTATATTGTCAGTAAAAAATCCTAACTTGCATTTGTGGTCCGTGTCGAATTCTTTCTTACAACGGTGGTCCATGTAGAAGCCCCCTTAAATTGGTGGTTAGTGTAAATTCCCCCTTACATTGGTGGCCAGTGTACAAATATATTGGCTGTTGGTATAAAACCCCCATTACATTGGTTGTCAGTATATATTCTTCTGTACATTGGTGGTAAGTGAAGAATTACCTTTACACTGGTGGTCAGTGTAAATCCCCCCTTACATTGGTCATCAGTGTAAATCCCACCTAACATTGGTGTTGGTATTGGTTGTTGGTATAAAATCCCCCATTACATTGGTTGTCAGTGTATATTCTTCTTTACATTGGTGGTAAGTGAAGAATTACCTTTACACTGGTGGTCAGTGTAAAATCCCCCCTTACATTGGTCATCAGTGTAAATCCCCCCTAACATTGGTGTTCGGTGAAGAAATGTCACCTCCCATCTGCCACTATCCCATCCCCCACCAGCACTTTCACTCATACCATCCCCCCAGCACTGCCACTTATGCCATCTCCCCCACCATTGCCAATAATCCCATCAACCCTCCAGCACTGTCACTGATCACCCCCCCCCAGCACTACCACTGATCCCAGGAGTTCTAGGATCCCTAGGAGTTTTCTGTCTATTGGAGGGTCTCATCACCTTCTTAGTCCATGGTGTGCAGGCAGTGAGGAGATGATGCTGTAACCTTCAGCAACCAATCAGAGAGATGTACTTAAGTGCTGTAATCTCTAGCAACCAATCAGTAAGCTGTAATAATATGCAGTAACATCTAGCAACCAATCAATGAGCGGTAATGATGTGCAGTAACCTCTAGCAGCCAATCAGTGAGTGGAAACGATTTGCAATAAACTCTAGCAACCAATAGGTGAGCGGTGATGATGTTCAGTAACCTCTAGCAACCAATCAGTGAGTGGTAATAATGTGCAGTAACCTCTAGCAACCAATCAGTGACCAGTAATGATCTGCAGTAACCTCTAGCAACCAATTAGTGAGCGGTAAGAATGTAAAGTAACCTCTAACAACCAATCAGTGAGCGGTAACGATGTGCAGTAACCTTTAGCAACCAAGCAGCGAGTGGTAAGGATGTGCAGTAACCTCTGGCAACCAATCAGTGAGCAGTAATGATGTGCAGTAACCTCTATTAACCAATCAGCAAGCAGAAATCATGTGCTGTAACCTCTAGAAACTAATCCGTGAGCCGTAATATGTGCTGTAACCTCTAGCAACCAGTCAGTGAGCGGTAATGATATGCTGTAACCCCCAGCAACCAATTGTAATCGTTGCCTAACCTGCTGCAGTAAACTGAATTTGAGTCTAGCTGCTATTTATTTGTATGTCTCAGAGCAGGTGGAGAGTGAAATTAAATGGGGAGGGTGGGGTAAGAAAATGTTTGCCCAGGGTCCAATCAATATTAAAGACAGCCCTGCATTCTATAAAATGAAAAGTGAAAAATGACAAGCTGCTAATGGCATTAATACATTTGTTCTAATTTTCTTTTTTCCAGTGTTAGGGTCCATTCACACCAGAATGTAAAAACCAGCGTGCACTTGGATGCACTGGATCACATGGTACATCTGTTGCACTGCTTTTTTTTTTAAGTAGTACATGCACTACTTTGGTGCAGTGCAATTAGATTTCAGCCCCTTTCAAATGAATGGTCTGAAGATGCACTGCATTCAAATCGCACAGGAATCACACAGGAATGCAAGCTTATTTTTGTGCAATTCTTGGTGTGAACTAGTGTTCAATGATTCAGACCCAAAAAAGTTGGCTTTCATGTGTTTATTTAGTATTTCTCACTAAATAGGTGCACTGTCACTTTAAGGTGCTATTCATACTAATGTAGATACAACAACAATGTACTGTGATATTAATAAAATTAAAAAAAAGTAGAATAAAAACAAATCAAAGATCAATAAAAGGTCCATATATGTGAAATAGAGTGCAGAGTCCCAAAGGTGTCAATATCAAACTGTGAATCAATCCAAATGATAAGTGATCCCCAAGTGGTTTACACCAGTGCTCACACACTCCT